AAGAGCGCATACCCTACGTAGAAACCTTGATAAGTAAAAGACCGTCAACGACAGCTAAGTGACTACACCAGATGCGAGGCTTCATAACCCTGATATTGATCCATAAACCAGAGTCATGTGTGCATAACAATATGACTCAATTTTGTAACAAGCAGTCGAAAAATCCACAACAGACGCATATGTAAGACCGTTTCAATGCACGGGGTGAATTTGTGGTACATGATATTTCATCTTAGATTTACTATCCAGATGAAAGCTATTATTCTGGGTTACTGATGGTACTAATCAAGCAACAAATAACTTGTTAACTCTATCTACGAAGACCGTACATTTACGCTATCAATTTGCATCTAGTGAGCTGTACTGGCCCAGACCGAATCTCACAAATCAACTAGTTCGACCGAGCATTTACAATGCATCAATTAAGTGCAAGTAATACAGTTTTGAGATAAATTATTTCTCAATAGTTTGAGAAGCATACCATGTTGAATTCTGGTTAAAATCACCCGTGGGGAAGTATGAAAACAAAGAAATATGAAACAGACAATGTCCAGCAAAACTGGTGAATTGGTTTTAGGTAGTTACTTCGGGTGAGTGAAATTATGAAAGAGGCATTTTCTAAATAATCCAGCGATTGATGATATATCCATGAGGATTTATCATGAATCACAACTCACATTCTTCCCACAGTCACTTGGAGGCCAGGGGGATTGTGTTGATGAGCTATCCTGTTCGCTTACTGGTGTTGTGGTTGTCGTCACTGATCCAGATCGCTTGGATACGTTTGTTCGATGACGACGCTCCTTTCGATCACCATGTGAATGTTTCAGTTTTGTGGACCGCTCTGTCCGTCTTTTTTCGCTTTTTTCGCGGTTCGGTGCAAGTGTGACCCGCGAATCTGAAGGTGGAGTCCGTGAAGAAGGCGTCTCTGCATCGGTACTCGGTGTGCTTACAGCGGCTGAATCATCGCTGACCTCAGGCAGAGTTGGCGCGTGATCCCGTCGAAGTGGGGTAACTACAGCGGTAGATTTTTTCCGTGCTGTATTCCCGTTTGAATCAGCCCCAACACCAATAAGTCCAGTGTTTGGTGAAGGTGCGACTGAGAACATCGGACGAGAGGGTACTACTAAACCGGAATTTGTGATCGCCGTGGTACTTGCCACGATGGAAGGGGAGGTGGATAGCTGTTTGATTGTGATACGCAACGGGTCAGTCGATGTTGTTACGGTGGCTGTGCTGGTTACTTCGACAGGCTGTGAACAGATGTATTGATAACATTCAGTGAGGTAGTTGTATGATATCATGATTAACTTTTTAAGGATACATTTCAAATACACGGGACAACCAGATTCAAGCAGTATATTTACTAAGAAAGGCTATTTATTCATTTGATTGTTAGTCACGTGTCACTAAGCACAATATGTTAGGGGACGCATAGTCCGCTCACCAGGATGACGCACAAATATGGTTTCTTTTTAACTGCGCAATAATGGGACAAACAGTCTACTTACAGGACCCCAAATTCATTGGAACTTACTGTTTGATTACGGAGACAGCAGCTTAACTCCTGAGAATGGATACGGTGAGCAGAAGATGACACTGAATAGGGGTGATGTGGAGCCGATCGAAAGCAAAGACATCTGCCACAAACATACATACATAACATAACATACATAATTGTAGGTTGCCAATCAATCAACGGAAAAATAATTATGAAGGGGTTTGAACAAAAGAACAGCGAGATAAATGACTGAATGTCCATATCGCCCAAGAGTGATGGATGTGAGTGGGATTATCTCTTGGCAGTGAGATAAACCCTGGTAATTCAGTGAAAACTACTGTGAACGTGACCTAGGCAGTCCCCGCTTCGTCGGGAAATTAACTTCACTTCATTGCAACAGCTTAAAATAAGTACGGATGTCCTGAGTTATATTCACACTCTGAATCGAAATGATGAACGAAAAACCGATGCGATGTCTTTGAAGAAGAACACTTTTTCGCTGGAGCAGTTTCTGAAAAGTAGGTCGCAGACCAATCTTAATCAACCCAAATAACCAACGCAATTCTGACTTTTATAGCTCTTCTTCTCGTCGCAAAGGTGCACATGTCAGGTTAGTACTGGCGGAATCCGAACAAGACCGTAAATTGATCATGTAGACCGTATAGTGTTTAGACGCTGTCTTGACCAGCCCTCGCCCTCTTTACTTTTAACAAGGGACGCGCGAGCGTTTGTCAAATTATCAAGTGACTGTGAATCAGAATCGAGTGTGACAAGCTTACCCGTTTCGCTTCCACAGTACCACTGGACTCCGGTGTGGAAGGGGATATTGATGACAAGGGTGATTCATGTGCCGGGGAGAATTTCAGCCCGTTTCCGTCGTTGCGAATGCGCAATCGTAAAGAGGCTAGCCGCCTAGGACGAGCTGATGGCGTGGTTCCGTCCACCAGTGATTCATCTGTTTG